TCAAAAAATATATATTGAGCTTTGCTAGGGGTTTTCCCTAGCCATTTCCCCTTAGGGAAGTTTCTTCCACCCTTAATGGTTGCTCCTTTTTCCTCTCCCAGTGTTTCTCGTATCTCTTGGCTTGCCCTATTTTGAACTCCTTAATTGTTCCACCTTCGTCTTGTCCAAATGTGGTTAATCAAGTGAGACTGAATGATCAAGTCTTTTCGAATAGGAAATCTAAATATTGATCTTTTCTTGATGTCCTTTTGGGGGCTTCATCTTTTGTGCTATTTCAAAATCCAAAAACTTTGACTCTCTGTGGATTGGCATTGCTTTAGATTTTGAATGAAGAGGTTTTGGTACTTGCTACCCCTTTTGAGTTTTCTTTGGCTGGAAACTTTCCTAATCGTAGGCCTTCTCTGGATTTGATCGAAAAATTCTTTTTTAACCTAAACCTTTTCGGTGAGTATTCATTTATTTTGTTAAATCCGCAACATGTTATGATAAAACTGAGTAGTGATATGGATTATTGTAGAATTTTTTACTCACCGCTCATATTTTGTTAACTATTGTTTCATGAAACAAACCAAATGGTTCCTTTTTTTTACATCAACGAGGAATCACCCATTGTTCTGATTTGAGTCTCCTTTTAATATCTACGCTTGAACTTGTCCTCGTCGCGTATCTTAAATAATCTTAATTTTATTTTTGGCTATCCCCTTCATACTAATACTCCCACTTTGATTGGCTCTCGTCTGTCATTTATTTGTGTGTTGGTGGAACTGGACATTACGAAATATTAACTTGACAATTTTTGGTTTGATCCTAAAAAATTAGGTTATATACAAAAAATTGCGATGGATGAATTCCCCTCCTTTTGTGAGCATTGCAAACCATTGGGTCATTTTAAAAAGGAATGTGTTAGCCTTCATCCTCATTTAGCTAAGGAATCTCCTATTAATGTTAAATCAGTGAATGCTGCTGGTAAAGAAACCTTTCGGTTAGCTCTTTTTAATGCTAGAGGTTTTACTATTTCTTCCACTTTAGTTCCCGCTGTTATTGATCTTGAAGTGCCTTTGGTTGATAGAGGGGAAGGCATTGTGGTTGATGCTAGGGATAATAACAATGTTCAGGAAAATATTTTTATTCCTTTTTTTTGGTTTTAATTAGTCTGATTTCTCTAATATGGAATTGATTATTGATATTAATTATTTCTTATGAGGCTTTGGTCTCATGAGGATTCAAGAATTCTCTTGTGAATGTATTAATGATGGAACTTATGTTGATTACACTAATTGGTTGCATGACTCATCAGGTGTTGTGAGGAATGTTGGGGAAGTGAGCATTGGTAATTGTCATGCTTTACTGGAGGATGCTATTTTTATGTTATTCATGTTGATAATGAGAAGTTTACTTCAATGGATGGAAATAAAAAATAAAAAATCTAAAGGTAAAAAGGTTGTGCAAAACTTTAAATATATTGCTACTAACTTTACTCATTCTAATACTTCTTTACTCTTCTCTTTCTTGTTGCTTATGGGGTGTGGTCTTTCTGTATATTATTTTGGGCTCCTTATTCTTTTGTCAATGGTTTAGTTCTTGGGCTTGCTCAGTGTGGTGGTTGTTCTTAGGTGCTGTATTGGGTGTCGTGTGGCTATTCTATTTCTTATTTTAGGGTTGATTCAGTGTTGTGTTGGCTGTGCTGTTAGTGGTCGTTCTTGGGTGTGGCCTGGGTAGTGTCTCCTTGTTTTATTCCTTGTTGAGTGGTGTTGGTTTTTGGTGGGGTGAGTTTTCTTGTCTTGTAGATCTACTGGTTGGTGGTTTTTGCTAGTGATTCTTATTATGGTGTTTGGTTTAGCTCCATGCTAGTATTATTTATGGTTTTTGCTTGTGTTTTGTGGTTGTCTCTTTTTGTTTTGCAGGATGCTTTCCTTTGTTGGTCATCTCTTGGCTCTGTCTGTGGTTGGTTATTGGTTTGTTCTCCCAGAGGGCTTTTAGGATGATCTTCCTTTCCTTTTTTTTTCTCTCTTTATTGGTTGTAACTAGATTAGATCATTGGCTATCAGGTTTTCTTTTGATTTTTTGATTTATTTATTTTTTGTTTTAGAGAGCATATGATCTTTTAAGGATTTGTAATCTTTTTTTTTTTAATTAATGCGTAGGCCTCTATTACTACAGTATTTTTAAGACACTTTTAAATAAGCGCCTTAAAAACTTTCATGTCAAAAAATTCCCTACATAAGTTTTATTTAGCCTTAACATAGTCTTGCACATAGTTTTTTTTTTTTTAATTGGAGCAACATTATTTTTTTATGCATGATATGTATTCATTATGGCTCGTGCTTTTATCTTTTTTAACTCTCACATTCACATTCCTGTAACTTGCCACTCCATCTCTTACATTGTTGATCAATCGTTTGGTCGACGGCTAGTGGTCAGCTAGTGGTAGGTGATGGAAATACAATTGTTATTAATGAAGAAACATTAAACAAAAGTGGTACTCACCAAACAAAAACTAGTAGCCAAGACAAGGACCCTCTCTCATGCCATCCCAATCTTTCTTATAATGCATCAAGAATTAAAATTATAAGTTCATAGGCCACATTAAAAAACACATTTATTGACTTATATTCCACAAATACATTTCATAATAAATTAACCATTGTAGTTGATGAAAATAAAATTGCGATTAATTTGATTTTAAGTTGAATAGCTAGGTGTGCTCAATATATACTACAATCAAAAGCATGCATCAATCATTTAATGCTTATGCTCTCCAACAAATTAAGGCTATATAAGCGGTCTAATATCATTTTTCAATATTCTACTTAAGCAAATACTTGATTACACCTGGAATGTGAATGTTAATCAAGTAATCATCCAATTCAATGTTCACGGGATCAAAATCAAACAACTTCATCTCAACATTATTCACCATTGCCTTTCTCAAACATTCTAAGTTAGAATCATCAAAGCTGCAGTCAATCACAATATTGAATAAGAATATTATCGATATCTCAAATATAATGAATATAATTATTTATTACTCTTTACTCATAAACTTGAGCTTACCATCCTTTAAAGAATGCATATGGTGCATAGATATCAGCAAGGAGCATCACACGCTTATATTCCCTCCAATATGTGTTGTATTGTTGAGTAAACAAGCCAAAAAGGGCTAGATTCATCAAGCGCAAGCCCTAAATAGGAATCCATAACACCAAAGAATATTTTGTTAACCACACTCCCTTGAATAATAAGCTCAAGTTAAAACCACATATGAAGAATTACATAATCATATCCATTATATGTGTGTGTGTGTATATATATATATATATAGAAAAAAAAATCTAAAAAGGAAATAGTTTACCTCAAGAGGTAGGCGATAATGAAGAAGCATGTATATATGAAAACTTGTCATTGTTCTTTTGAAGTGAAGTTTATTTGCCTTGATTTCCTTTCCATCACTACGAGTCTGATGGTTCTTCACTATATATTGGTAGACACATTTTTCTATTGTTGAAGTTTTCACCAAGTTTCTTACAGATGAACTAACATGATATATGACTTCTGAATGTTGATTTGAATGTGTTGTTATTGCTAAAATCATGGCATTCGCCACCATGTCTCCCGGAATCTATCAAAGTTAGAATGC